TTTATTTACGTGTATTTATTCCTCTATTCATAAGGTTCCAAAGAAGAAACGAAACCGCACTATCACCCTCCGCATCCGCCACCACAACCGCCGCCACAACCGCCGCCACCACCGCCGCCAAAAACACACTACGTTCCTGTTCCACAACCACCGCAGGTCGTCCACGTTCCGGTTGAAAAACCAGTGTACATTCCCGTACAATACAGCCCGCCTCCAGCACAGAAACCACAGTATAACCCGTACAGAACGGTGTCAAACCACGGATACAACCATCAGCCTGCCATTAAGGCACCTGCGCATAATCCTCACTCTTATCCGCAACAGTATGCTCAACCTCATCATCAACCACATCCTCAAAAACATCATCAACCACATGCTCAACCATATCATCAACCGCATGCTCAGCCCTACCCGAACACATACCCCCAAAAACCCTACCCCGGTTTAGTTGGAATAATGTCAGTGTCCAAAACTAGTGGCGGGAAGAGCGGGGGTCAGGTAGACAGTGGACAATCCGGTCACGGAGGTACAGGCCATTCCAGCCATAGTTAGACAACAGGTTCCAGGCACTCTACCTCAGCAGATAGCCATGGTTTACAAATGGCTACCGTTTGATCTGGAGAAGCAACTGTAGGCAGTTTCGGCTTTGTACAGATGGCGATAACGGCGTCAAACACAAAGGGCACTGACCTCAAATCTGGAACCGCCAGTGGCAAAGGATATATTACTCCCTGGGTTAAGGGACAGAGAGCTGTTACTTAAGTCTTAGGGTGACATATACTGTATAAAGATTAATAGTAGTTTTAATAATTTACGTTACATAAATTAAATTATTTAGATAGATAAAAGTGTCTTCTTCAAGGACTGAAAAACGTCTTCTTCAAGGACTGAAAATTTAGACCCCGAAGAAGAGACACAAGCCGAAAGCTCGGGTACATTTTATCTATTTTAGTTGATCTTAACAGATACGTTTTCAATGTCATGTATTTATATTTTTTATATCAGATCAACACGATTAATTTGCTAAATCGTCAAAGTGTCTAGCTTAATAACGCTCAGGTGTATACGTGTCTCGTGAAGCACAATGCTTCTAGTTACATTTGTACGAGAAAGATAATTTTTATCCAAATACTAATAAAATTTGTTGTTTTGGCAAAAAAGTCAATATAATAAAATTATCAAAACTTGTTAAGGAATATTTTATTTCTCTTCTCTCTTCTTCTTTTTTTATTGTATTGATTATTTCTTTCTTTTTTCTTTCAAGTCGATTGGATGAATATTAATAGAAATGCATCCATCCAATGATAACAGCTATCCCTCCATGAAAAAAGTTTTCATTGCGTTTCAAATACACTACAATAACGACAAAAACCCAAATCCAAACCACACACCTTTCAAATGAATTTCTTAGGCGTAACCTTAAGGTCCAAATATAATCGGATCCGTGGTAATAGTGGCCTCGGTTGGCAAGCTTGAATCTATTGCTTGTCTACACCGCAGGGGATACAAAACTCATTCTCTTGTCATGACATAGTCAGAAACTCCCAAGAAAACCAAGGTAGAGTCATATATGTATCAGCGCGCGCACACACACACACACACACACACGTGCACACATACTCACTTAGGGGGTACTCACATCCAACCGTGATCGAGTCACATAAATTATCTCTACGGCGACACATGCAATATAAATAGAAATGCTAATGTTAAGTAAAAATAAACTAAGACAACTATGTCTAGAGCCTATGCCAAAAACAGGAATACTTGGTGAGGTTTACGGAAAAAAAATTAATTTTGAGAAAATTGAGAGAAAAATGAACATGTCAGGCTACGCGCACTCGTAATGATATTTTTTATTTTTTATACGAGCACTGAGATGATTAGAATCTTAAGCATCACTAAAGGCACATCATCGTGGAAAGCAAAGCAATTTATAAAAATGATGCTGCAATAAAAGTTATTTACCGGTGATTATGATAATGATTGTAGGAGGAATGTAAATGGTGTAATCTGGTTAATTACGGAACTACACTCGCCCCCGTAGTGATCTAATCTTAAATGTAATCAACCAAGGTTATTGTATTTGGTGCAAAAACATCTTTAAATGATAATGAAAATGATCAAGTTATTTTTAGACGTGGTAATCAGGAGGCAAAATGAACCATTATGCATTCTCACGCTCTCTCTCTCTCTCTCTCTCTCTCTCTCTCTCTCTCTCTCTCAGTAAGTTGCTGTACAGCTACATGTAGGCCTACATGTATAACAGAAATATTCACTTGTAAAGAATAAGTCATGAAACTTTCACTACTTGAGTCGTTTACAGGCTGATTTCAAAGGCATAATCCCTAGACACACAAGATAACTGACTGAACATACACGTACCAGCGCTGTCATATATAAATTATTAAATATATAAGAAATGTCGAAGTTTAATATCGTTGGTTGTATCATTGCGATAGCTGTGACAGATGACTTCTGGCAGACTGAAAGAAAGATTTCTTTCTAAAAAAAAACAGAGTGAAAGACAGGGTGACAGAAAGACAGGAAATTTTGGGCTTGTTTTAAGGTAGAAACACCACATTTGTAGAACAGAGCTTAACAATGTGGGGATTTCTACTAAACTGAATTCTTCCACAACAGAAAAAAAGAGTTTAAAAGCTTCGAGATTGAATTCCCTTTAACATACCAATCCAAGGTAAGGAAAACATAACAAAGTGACAGTTCAAAAAGTGACAGTTACCTGTAGGAGACAATTTTCACGTAAACAAATTAAATGAGCTTTCCAGATTAAGCGTAGGCGAAGATTTATTATAAGGCAAATTTAAACCACCTACCTGCGCCCTCGAAATGTGACGTTTATAGCAGGAGGGACATTTCTAGCCACAAATACATCAGGTAGGTTGTTAATGACACTGAAGCATGTCGTGGTGGCGTTGGGATGAGTGAAAACTGAATTTTATCAGACACGTAATTAATATTTAAAGTTCATGTTTAAACGTACTCCCCCAATTGTTTAAGACTCTTGAGTACTTGGTACTTGTGTTTTTCAAATATCACGTTTAACCGATACAAGTGGTCTACTTTATGTAGGTGTAAGAAGTTATTTAGTACAAAGCAATATATATTTACAGTAGTTACAGGTACATTAAATTACAGTGGAGGTTTGAACTAGCTTGTTTCTATTTTTTTGCACTTGAAGGCTCTTATCCCGAGACTTGTTAGATCTTTTGAAAAAATTAATACATCTCCTAAATTGGATTGTAAATGGATTTTAATACAAACGTAAAAAACCAATCACTGTGCCAAAGCTTAATAATTAAAAATGACAAATAAAGAATTGAATAATAAAGAATTAGGGTGCTTACAGACGTGCATTAGAATTGTACCCCTGCGTTTACTACTCGATTAAGTGGTGATCGATATGTATAAGCACTAGCAAATTGTTAAGAACACTGAAACCTTTCAACATTTTTTTAAATTCTCGACAACATTTTATACATACCAAATCTCTGTGGTCTCCTGTTTCTTACAGGCAAATGGATTTCATATACCATGAATTTGAATAAAAAACCAGAACTTTGCAGCAAGCTAGATACATTCCCGTTGTAAAATTAATATTCGAGTGTCCAAAAACTGCTGAGGACCTGAACTATCCGAATTCTGAGGAATTAAATTATTCGGTATCACCTAGAAAAAAAAACGGGCCTTGTGTCCGTTGTGCGACTACACTGCACTATATGTTTGTGTAGGGCGCCATTCACGATTCGATGGCGTGGTCGAGAGCAATCTGAAGAATCAGAAAAATGATTGCGGTTTGTTCCTATTACCACATGAATTTCAACGCGCGTGTCGTTGGCGTGCCCCAGGTTACGCTATCTCGACTCGACTGGATCCGTTTTGTCTAGCATGGGTGCCAAGGAGAATGCCATATCAATCAAATCATCATGGCTGCGCATGGGAAATACTTCAGCGGAAGTCACGATGATATCAGTAAACAGGATATATTTCTGGTGAACAAAATGTTTACGTTTTAAGCATTGCATAACCTAATTATGCAACACACTAAGAAAAGGTAAAGCCGCCAAGTTGTTTACAAACTTCTGTTAAGGTACGCTTAATCCATCTACTTAAACTTAAAAAGCTAACAGAACCACAATATTGACTGTACTTTGCATTTTTCGGAAAATGATCCAGTTTTCATCTTGTCTTGCTCAAATCGAGGCTGGATACTATAGAAACAGGAATTGGCTCTGGAACTTTGGGAGATGTAGAAAATTCAATGACAACCAGTTTCAAATTGGTACCATGGAAAATCATGCAGAATGCTAGGAATAACAAATAAAGTATGAAAATGAATAAACAAGCGGCTGCAACAGCCAAAATATAGTTGATGATGCCGGTAAAGAGGCGTATGTACCATGTGTCCAGTATAAATAATTTGTTTACGTGCCGAGAGGCACCAGACACCTTGACGATATAAATTATACGTTAACCAAGTACCGGTGCACTGACTTACTGCGAATGTCATCTTGTAATTTCGGTTCGTTTCTTTTTTCATGTTCTCTCTCGCTCTCTCTCTCTCTCTCGTTTACCTAACTTTGGTCCGCATGGAAGCATTTTTTTATTCGCAAGATAGCAGCAATTTTTTTTTATCAGGAGATGTTTGTTTTTCTGCCGACCCCCCCCCCTCCACCACCACCAATTCTTTGGCATGTTGCAGTGTAGGTACACCCCTAGTGCAAAAAATCTTTTTAACCGTTGCACCTGTTTTCCTTTAATTCATGATTTATTTAGTTTCATTAATATATTATTTCGTTAAAGAAATCTGCCAAAAATCGTAAGCAGGAAACCCCCCAGTAATCAACCTATTTATAGTCATCAGTAATTAATTCGCATGTTTCATCAGCCTGTCAGCGGGAGCGTGATACCCGCGACGTCACAGTTCTAAATATACTCTCACCTTATCCTCCGAAAAGGTGTATAAAAGTGCTTAAAGCGCTGTGGCATTTTGACATTGAGAATTCTATTAGTGATACCCTGCTTTGTGAGATACTTGAAACATCGCTCACGTTTCTGTGCGGTTGGAACGAGCAAATAATTCGCTTAAATTTCTTTCCCATTCCAGACATTTTCAGCAATCCTAACATTCATCAAGGGCGAAGAGGAAGTGGATTTGTGCACGTGCGCGAGAGTATTTATGTACGCTTTCTGAGCCGTTTCCCGTCAGAGAGGTGATTTGGCGGACACTCGCGCACTTCTTCAAAGGGAGCATTCATCAAATATCATCTTGAGTAATTCTCCTTACAGAGTGGGTAATTTTGATCAAGCACGCACAAAATACATCAGTGCAGTAAGGCCAACTTAAAAATATCAACCAGATAAAAAAAGGCTGACGCTAACGGAGTGCCTGCTAATTCACGTGGTCAAGAGTTTAAAATAAGCATATAAGCCAAGTTACGGCATCAACCATAAACAGACCTCTACCGATTCGGAAGCAAGAACCGTCCAGATTTTCCCGGCATAGAAAAACTTCGGAAGAAGCGACAGATCCCGTAACTTTTACATTAGCACAAAATGAAGACAAGAGTTGCTTTCCTTGCGTTTGTGGCTGTTTTCAGCTTATTCATTCTTAATGTTGATGCTTTCTGCAATAGGTCACGACCGAAGATCGACTTGACACGTAAGTATATTGTGCGAAACTTTTTCCCTCGTTTCTTTACACTTGTGCTTTTTGTTAAACATTTGCTATAGTTTGTTCTACAGGTTTGCCGCGAACGCAAAAAAAAAAAAAAAAAAAAAAAAAAAAAAAACCGAAAAAAAAACGCCAACATCTTTTCGTGAATATATTGTTTAACGGTATGCATCGTCTATTGTCTAGATCTCCGATTGTATGTTAAAATGTGAAAAAAAAAGATATAATATTTGAATGCCTGCACGCAAAATCAAGGTTGTCATAATGCATCTGAAACTGCGAAGTTAATATGGCTAAGATAGTGTTCGTCGTCTATATAGAGAAATAAGAGGGCAAAAATCACTCTGTGAGGCGTCATCTCAGCTTACTCTAAAAAACCATCTGTTTACTGATACTTTTTTTAAGACTGTAAAGCGTTTCACTGAAGATAATGAAATATAAAAATAGATTTAGGAGCACAGAAGCACACAAGGGCACTTTTTATTGGCCACATTGGATCTGAAATTACATCGTTTACCACAGAAAACTGTAATGGTTGTATTTTAACCCTACCGCAGATTTTCAGTATTCCATATGGGAAACATAAATATTTAAAGATCGACATAAAATCCTTACCAATACTTCCTTTCAACACAACATGTTACTTTGTGGAATGCATTAAACTGACAGTTTTACCGATAGATCTCCACCAGTTAATGGGTGCAGTTCTTGTTTCAATTTAGGAAACGTTTCCATGCCGTAATCTTAAAAGTGTATATGGCTTTTTATAACCCTTCTAACGTTACTTAAGCACGGCATTTCGAATGCAAGATTGCATTAATCCGATATTTGGATTTCGGTGCGTTGACTCACTGATTAAGGATTTCCTTTTATATATTTAAAACTAACAGACCATTCCACATTGTCTTAATAAGAACCGGAAAGTATCACTTTACTGTAGGGATAGAAATATCTAACCTCGAGACTTAGTGAGATTTCGTGGGATTTGAAGGACAGTGGGGTTCGAAGTAATGGCAGACTATCGAGTTCGTTATGGCCACAAGTAAAATCTGACAGAATTTATTCGCTAGTGTTTTCTGGTTGTTTTGCTTAAATTATGTAGCATTAATGTCTACCTCTTTGCATAACAGTGCGAATTCGCCATGCTTTGGGTGTCTTTTTTGTATTGGTTTCTAAGAAGACTTTCCCGGAGCTTTCACAAAGTTTACCTTTATCGCTAAAAGTATAACCCCACTTTACACTGATTTCCGCATGTTTTATAATTTCATATGACGTCACAAATACCGAACACCTCGTTCTAAGCTTAAGATGATCCTCATTGTTATGTACAAGTTTACAATCATGTCAGCGAAAAGTAGACCTACAGATTTACAAAGTTCTGTTTTCTTACAGCTTATGGTGCATTTCCCTACTGCGAGTACAAAGGGATAGGGCTCCGTCCTGGGTCAGTGATATATACCAAAGACTGCATGCGCTGCGAGTGCTTCAGGACCGGGCTATCCTGTTGCGGGTAGGTTGACTATACACATTATACACTATACACAAAATGATTTACATTCTAAATTTTAAACAGAAAAATTAAACGTGAATGGTTATTTATGTTATTCTGTTCATCTTTGTTATACACATTTTGACGGGGTAGGGTTATGACGCAATCATTCACTTAAATTGCAGTCAAAAGCAAAAAAAAAAAAAAAAAAAAAAAAAAAAGATTAGAGAACTTAGAAAAAGATGGTTCAAAATGAAATGAAAATGGGTTATGGTAAAGTGCCGCCCTCTATCGGACCCATAAATCATCATATGTCGGTGGTGCTGTGCTCATAGCTCCCGCTGTGGTGAATGCGGAAATAATGCATAAAAATGTTGTTTTGTATACTTAGAGTGTTTTGCGGTTATTTCGAGTAATAAATTCATCATGAGATGAACCTAAGTAACCAAACGACAATTTAATTTTCATTCGAATGATGAATGACCCTGGCTAATCGCCGTATTAAGATGGGCTGTCGTATCTTTATTATTCTAATTATCATTTTGTTTATTGGTTGTGAAAAATAGAAAGATATGCTTCGCATTTTTATTTCACTGACACACATTTCCTTTTCATTTCATCCTTGGGTTTCTTTTCCTCCTCATCCCTCTCTCTCTCTCTCTCTCTCTCTCTCTCTCTCTCTCTCTCAAATGTCACATGAATGGATCTAACCCTGTCTGCAGTGTCACTTCTGCTGAAATCATGTGTGGTTTGCCTTAAATATAAACAACCTTCATTTGTGGTCGATTTTCTTTATCAAAACGCCTTTGTATCTTTGCAGGCAGGGTCTGAAGGCCGGGGTGATAGCGGGGCCGCCAGGGCTCAAAGCAGTCAGCGTAAACTGCAAGATCCAGTGGGTACCTGATGAGGTCGGCACTGCGGGTCTGTCGGAGAAAGAACCAAGCAGTGAAATCCCCTCCGTGTTGGTGGGGTAATCAGCAACAGCAGCGGCGGCAGCAACAGCGGCGGCAGCAGCTCTTGACTTGATTTCCACTTTTATTCTGTGAATGAATCTATTATATAGCACTATGACGTCGTCCAGGTCCAATGTCACAGTTATAAACTAGTGAACATTTTTGTTCGAAAATGGGGATTCTTGGTCTGTATTTCCACAAATGAATAAAATACCGGTGTTATTACGGCCGGCGCACGCTATGAGTTACGAGCTGAGCGAATGTTCTCGTGAGCTTAGCAATTTGACTGGTTGTTATCATTTTTTCCTCAGGGAATATCGAGCGTGTTTTGTATCTCAAGTCAGCGCACACTTTCAATGCTGTATCAAATTTGATTTTAGGTAGATGGCTGAGCTTGGATCTCGTAGTGTGCGCCGGACGTTAATTCGTGGCCTCTTTCAACACGTGTTTGAAGGTCTTCAACTAATTATAGCGACAGATGGAGTTATCAAACATGTTTTTTCCTGGCATTAAGTGAAAAATACTCGTTCCAGGGGTTACAAACTCTGCATTTCTCTACGTGCCTAGATTTAGTGCACAGTGTATATTGACTTTCATAGTTATTTAAAATAACTGCTGAATTGCTATTATCTACCGGTACTATTATTAATTAATTAATTTATTTATTTCGAAAAAAGTCTAGCAAGCATATAATGTGGGGACATATTTAGTGTTGGTGGCCTTTAAGTTCCCACAGAAAACCGACGTTAAAATCGGTGTTATAATGTGTGACAAGATGATGACTTGATAAAAAACTGTACATTTAATATTATGATGTTTAGCATCCGCAGGATCCATATTGTTAAAGACAGAGGAGATCGAAGCACTTAGTGTTCCACTGTCCGTCTCATTCACGAGTGCATTCATATTTTCATATACTTAAAACGGATACCTGGGTAGGCTTTGGTCAACAATCATTATGGTGATATGTGTGCCTATAGCATTCTAGATGGTATCCACCTTTACTAATTATATGACAATATTTCAAAATGGTATTAAATACAGTTCTTGATGTACGTGCATCATGTATTTCAATCTAGGTTTGCAATTGCGTCACGCAAAAATTCTTTTGTTGCCCCTGTCATGATTTTTGAAAGGGGTGGTGATGAATCTTGTTTTTTTTTGTGTTGTAAATATGAGTGGAAGAGGGAAGTGCGTTATAGAATGATAAACATATCATTTGTAATAAAGGCTTTCGTATTATGATGTGGTCTGTTTTTGATACACTTGACGGCAACCCTGCCCGTTTTGAATAAGGATAACGGGGCATATGTATTTCTATGGAAAATTAAATGGAGAGTAACCAACAAGCCCTATGCAACGTGCCATGTGCCCCCCCCCCCACCCCCCCCCCCCACGTGAACAATGCCACACTGCAATAACGTTACTCGGATGCTGTAACATTGTTATAACGACGTGGAGACGCCATTGCACCACGTGATGTGTTCTTTTTTTAAATCTCAAATTAGTTGGCCCAAAAACTGGTCAAAGTTCATTAAATGCACACAAATACCCCAAAAAGAATTTTGTGTCATATATTTTCTTATGTTGCCATCTTTCAATGCAAAAATCGCGATAAACAATAACAATTCTTTGATATACCAAAAAGATGAATTAAACCAGATGGACAAAATTGGCCTATGCACTAAAAGTGGCTAGATTACTGCCGCCACGTTGGTTGGCGGAAATTACACTTTGAACGCATTTTGAGCTATTTGATCTAAGGTGATTAAGATGAAAATAAGCGTAATTGACCACATTAACTAAGAAATAATGAGTGCAGCAGTAAACGAGGCTTGTAAATGAGGCTTGACTATGGTGAAGTTTTTAACGATATGTGAAATACACAAACCCAGGGACCTCTTTCACGAAAGAACTTAGTTACCAAAATTGGTCTAAATATCTAGACCGACATTTTAGCCTACAGTGTTAGTGAAAAGTCAGTGGTAATACAATCTAGTGAAATATTGCGCCTGTTTTAATACGAAAAGACAAATACGTACTTTATTTAACTACACTACCTTGGTTTTATCTTGAACTACAGACTACGCTTTTATAGTGTACCAGGTTCTTTTACCAATATTGCTGCTTAATTTTTATAACAAAACCAGTCCCTGATCAAATGGGAGTAATGGAGTCATTTACATATAATGCGTCATTAGTAAAACGCTTCTTGTACCCATTTCCGCCAAGTCGTTATCATATGAAATCGAAACAACTATTTACAACGAGCAAATTGTCGATCCGAGCTAAAACAATTCCCACGAAATCCCTCATTATTTTAGCCTAGGACCCATAATCATTTTCGCTTATTTCAATAACTGGTATCAAAGCGAACAAACTAAATTGCTCAACAATGTGAAAATCTACGTTCGCCAGGTCTTTTTTTCTCCTATTGGATTTTAAGGCGTGATCAGATCAGTTCTAACTTAAAGCAAAAGGCTTTAACCGAAGTTGCCAGGGATGCGAATTGTTAGTACGGGTTTGAACGAGTCTTCACATGTTGAAATTGTCCAGTTAAGCTTGAGGTCCGTTCATGTGCCTAATCTAAGCTGTCTCCAAAAGATAAAAAAAAAGATGGTCAAAGGTTTTCCTAGTCGTGACGTGACGTCATTTGTGGAGGATGCCTCGACACAATTTTCTTTCAAAGTGTAGCTTTCCCGGAAAAGCGCCGAGTTATAGAACAATCTCCCCTACACAAATAAAATAAAATAAAATAAAATAAAATAAATAAATAAATAGATATATTTAGGTAGATAAATAGATAGATAAAATGATATATAAATTAAAAAAGAAATAAAATCAACAATTGAAAATTTTCCGTGGGTTCTTTCTAGGTGCTTTTTCAGTATTGATTCCACAAAATGCATAAAACCGATTGATTAATGTGGGAGAGGGGGTGTCAGCCTTACTCCACGGAATTGTTGGCCAATTTCGGACAGTGCCATTCATTCAGTTTGACGCATGGATCCTGGTAAACATTTAATAAACTTTCAATTATAGTCAAATTGCCTGGATGCAAACGTTATCTTTTAATTTCCTTTCTCCTTAAATGAGAAATATTAAAAGGTACAAGTTCCTCATCAAATTGATATCGCTTGACTGCACCCTTAGTTTCAATATGACAAAAACCATTTCTGTCAAGGCCTTATATCAAAATAGGGCTAATCGGATGAATTCTGATTCTCCTCTTCTCAGGTACTGTTCTCGATCAGAGGAAAATGGGTTTCTGATTTTCGGGAGGACTATAATGTGTCCTGTACCTTGGTTTATTTGGCAAAGACAATATAACCACCACCATCAACAACAGAACCTTTTTTACGCAACCCCTCTCGTCCCTTCTATGGATGAAAAATGGTAGACAAAATGTTGTTCATTGGAAGCCAGTAAGCGACATTTGTGCCCTTTCCCATGGATAACGAGGTGAATTAGAGCTTACCACCACCATCGCCGCCACCGCAAATCCTCTGCCAGACCTAATCACAAATAGATATTTTATCTTCTGTTTGTTCGCCACAGTGGAGAGGTCAAAATTGTGCATTTATACACGCTGACCCACAGGGTGCTTACCTTCCCAATTACCAAAGTCGTGACTATAAAAACTCTGACCCGAGAATTTTATCTGCACAGAGCGTCCGTGTTCTTGGTCTCCAAACAAGTGAGTCTTCAGCTCTCATTCGCATAGTGAACGTGTTGAAGTTTTTTTAGGAAGCACTTGTGAGTCTTCAAGGTTTTCAAATCGAATTCCAAAAATATAATTTTCAACATTTGTTCATCTATTTTGTGCGCAATCGGATTTCGGTCAAAAATGAATGTGTGGCTTTTTTCGCTCCTGTTTGCCTGTTTCTACATTAGAGGGTTTGAGAGTTTCTGTTATACCAGTATGCCCGTCTGGAAAATGTCAGGTAAGTCTATGTAGTCGATATCCATTTAAATAGAGACTTTGTTTCATGCATATCTATTTTAATTATTTATTTTTTAGTATTATCATCTTTTTTTTGTGAGGGGAGGGGGAGGGGAAGACGAATTTTATACAAAATTACATGTATGTACATCTACATATTAAAGTTATTTTCTTGCAGGGGTATTTCAGTGTATTAAATGTAGCTCTTTTCCAATGGAGCGTTCTATCTAAGCGTTCTTCTTTGAGAGACTGGCAGCTCATCAGTCCAGTTATAGTGCCGTCTAAAAGGAACGCCAAAATGGAGCTTCCGCGCCAGACACTGCCAATTTTGCTCGGTGTGTCGAATTTCAACTAAACTCGTTTTAAAAAGAATATGATCTAAGCAGAATTTCGTGAAGTCCCCTAGTAGGACGTCATATCAATGGACACTAAAAACGGAACGCTAAAAAATACGTTAGAAAAAATGAACCTGTACTTTTAAAGAATACATGTACAGTCATCTTTTTCTTCTTTAGCGAAAGGTCACTATCATGCACACAATGAGCATTGTGCATTTTTATAACAAAAAATATTTTCTGGTCATTTCAACCCTTTATCATGAAGGTACTCTATTAATGAATATCAGCACCAGTGGTAAGATCCATGAATCTGTGTTTGATGTTCTAAGGTTCTAGTTTCTTTCATCACTCTTGCCATGGAGATACAGATTGGCAAATATCACGCTGGACTTAAAATATTATGAATTCACAAATACAAAAAAGGTGTATAGATCGCAATTTTCTCAACGGTTTCGGACAAAGGATTATGAAGGGAAGACAACTGAAATTTCCCGGAAAATCCATCCATTGCTTCCATCGAGTCTGACACACATTGCATGCTTTTTTGTCTCTAAATTTCAGACTTTGGGACCGGCATTACTTACTGCAAGCATAAAGACCTGCTGCTGCGTCCCGGCAGCGTGCTTAAAACAGCGGACTGCATGCGCTGTACATGCACAGAGAATGGAATGAGTTGTTGTGGGTAAGTGAGATTTGATGCGCATGTGCAAAAACAGCTGAATCTAACTAAACCAATTTGGTCTAATCGACGTTGTTAGGCGTCTAATTTACAAGCACATAACAGTATATTACTTGTTAATTTGTGAGTAATGCAGGCATCTATTTACTAAATATTACTGACAGCAGGTTTTATTATCTGGTCTGATAGCCATTTTCAAGAGTGTTATAACATTAAACAGCATTCCGGAGCTTATATTTGAGATCCCCTTTCTGTTTATTTACATCTCTCGCCCTCCCTTAAGTGAAGCTCGTATAGCTCGTACGTAGTGTTTAACACAGTGAAATTTAATTGGTGATAACACAGGCCCGTAGCCAGCAATTTCAAAAGGGGGGTTCTTTTTCTGAAAAAGTGGACCTTTTCCCATAAAAACTTCAAGTACCTAGATCAAATTTTACCCAGAGAGGACCTTTTCCCAGCAAAAGGGGCTGTTCTTTCGAACCCCCCGAACCCCCCCCCTGGCTACGGGCCTGTAACATATTATACATGCAGTAGGGCCCACATGGGTACCTACCCAGCAAATACATCTGACGTTTTATAACGTTACCATAACCTGGTCATTGGTAAAATTAACGTTATAGTAACGTTATAATAACGTTGTGTGTTTGTGTATGTATGGTCCAAATGCTATCCAGATACATGCTGTGCATGTAACATGTTAGACATACAAAAGCGTTAGATTTATCCTTACAAGCATGAAAACATGTATACACAAACATGATAAAATATTGATCATTTCTATGATATCATTTCATTATTATTATTATTATTATTATTATTATTATTATTATTATTGCAGCGAAGGACTAAAGGCAGGGACCTTTGGGCTGCCGCCGAAGTGCAAGATGGTAGAAGACAACTGTAAGGCTTATGCAGTTCTAAAAGAGAACGAGAGGATGGATTGTTTTACCAAGAAACCGGTGGAATTTGGAAACTAAATGCAGTTATAAAACATATAAAAACATAGAATGATCAAAACATTGGGCTTTTAACTATTTTCCGATGTTTTTTCTCAATATTTGTGAAAAACGTTGCATTTAGACAGTGAATTGAATTAAATCTTAAAACAAATTCTTCTGAAGGAGCAAAGTGTATGACAAAAGTTTTAATTGTTGTCAGAATTTATTTCTTTATTTTTTGGTATTTTTCTCAGACCTATTAGAACTGAGTATCACAGAACCGCTCTCTCAGGTTGCAAGGCTTGCATATTGATTATATCTGTCTATCTTACATTATGAACATGTGACCACATGCGTAGGAAAGTAAAAAACACGTTTTTCCAGAACGAAATTGAAAATTAATAAAACAATGACTTTAAGGTAAGAAGTACAGTGTATAGCAAACAGATAAAATACATCTTATTAATTACAGATAAAAATGTTACAGCGTTGACCTAAATTGAGGAAACCAATTTCTCTGTGGCGAATAGAATGTATATTTTTAAGCGTGTCAAGAAAATGCGTCTCAAATCTGAAACTTAATCTAATTTAAGGACATGTCTTGTCATATGAGCTTTTTTGTTTTTCTTTTATTAAGTGACCTGAAAGGTCTATCGACTTAAACGTGCTCTCTTTTAAAGCAATTCAGGCCAACGTTCAGGTTAACGGAAACTGGTAAATTCGCCCCACTATATTTTCAAAAACAAGTCATATTCTTCTTACAAGTGTGTTTGCTCGGACAGTGCCGTCGCGGTAAAACAATGGGGATTTATTGATCTGAAAAATATAGGCAGTGCCATTTGCTAATATCATAAAAAGCATGCATGATCCGAGCGTGTTCTAACAATATTAGCATAGCTAATGCATCGAGGTCAACTTCCACTGTGCCGGAACAACGATGTTCTTGCGTCTGGCCTATTATTTTCTCTTGAGATGAAAGCGGCAGTTCTCAGAGATCTAGTTCCGCCTGTTTTTCAGGTCGTGTAAAACAAGTTTTTGCTTCAAAGTGAAGGAAAATGGTTTGTGTATTGACTCTAACTTAGCAAGCGAGTTCACAAAATGATAAATTACATCGATTTCAGGAAGTTGCAATAACGTCCATAATTATCCAGTTAGATGTTTTGTCAAAGTCTAAAATTGCAAGTCACGCTTACGTCAGCACGTGTTGTTTCTCAAAATGGACGTTATGACTAATTTTCTAAAACTGAAACAATGTCGAAATCTGCAAGTCATCTTGTCCAGATTATCAACAGTTTTTGTTAAGTTGCAAGTATTTGGGAATATACTTATATCTAATGGCTCGAGTCAAGTGCAAGAGCACAGAAGTAATGATTATCATTTCTGGTACGTCACCAATTAGCAGCATATGATTGTCAACAGGCAAGTCTGCATGGTAATTACGGAAGAGAACATCTTGACCCCCCCCCCTCAAATAAAATGTACGAACAAAAGAAAAGAAAATAGGTAAAGTTAAAAGACAATTAAGAAAGAGAAGAAAACGCATAAATATGTAAATATTTACCATGTATGTGAATGTATATGGTTTTCAAGCTCGATTACTACAATATATTATGTGTATGAACTTTCAACCTTAATCATTGGACATCGGAATCTTTGTTTTTTTACTGAATTTTCATTGACTTCTTGGTGATATTCTTAATGCCCATGTACACGACCATACTCTTCAGCTTAGGAGAGCTAGCTGAAAAACAAAAACAAAAACAAAAACAATATCTCAATTTGTGTTCAGGTGTCACATATTTTTCCAGGATTCATAACGACATAGAATCGTCTGGGATATTGATGTAGAAAGTTAATGATAAATTACTTAATAAATATTTTATTATATCTCACACGGATTCAACCTGTCACGAAAATCATTCAGAATTACAACGAAAGAAATGAATCGGATAATATCTTGTATAACACTGTAACACAACTTCAGACGTCATTCGCAAATGGCATTAAATACCTTAATAACGAACAAAATGATTCTTTACACTTCCTCGTCTGTAACCGGTTCTTTGTTAACCAGGTTATGTAAGGTAAATATTTATAGATTACGACTCAAACGTAACTCAATAAAGTCAACAAAGTTACACCAGTATTATTACAAGTCAACACCTAAGTAAATACATCCGAAAGAAATGTTTGAATGACTCGATACTCTAGATCTGGTGTCGGTGGAGGATTCAGGAATGGGCATATCGGGTTTCGGAGGTACCTCTTCCCCCATTCACACCCACAATAAAATAAAATAGAATAAATCATAGTAACCCAAATAAAACAGAAATGAATAAATAAATAATATAAATAAAACAATCATAATAAAACGGATTAATAATAATCGAAAAGTGACAAAAGCAAGCATTTCTGCCATTCCGATCCCCACCTAATTACGGTAAAAATTGGTCTACCTTCTCATATTTTCATCACTTAATCGGCAGTTTTAAAACTTCTTGACCACCCCAACCCCTTTCAAAACAAAATCCTGGCTCCACCAGTGAATATTATACAGTACACTTGTTCAGAATGAGACAAACTCAACGTGTGTGAACTGGGATGTTAAAGCTAATTAATTGTCATAGAATAACCGGGTCTAACCATTAAAATACGACTTCATTTTAAAGTACGTACATAGATGCAGAAATGATACAGAAGCAAACAATATAAATTATAGCAAATGAAGTTTTTGAAAGAAACTCTAACGTAAGATATATGCTCTTTTTGCAGTGATGCTGATCCGGATCCAAATAATTTTTTAAACTTATAGTAATAATCAAAGAACATTATTGTTGTTCCTTGTCATTTGGAAGTGTTCGATGACTGGTAAAAATGATGCCGCTACATGGGTCATACACGTTTTAATACAATTAAGTCATCAGGTAAAATACTGTGTTTTATACACACAATCTGAGCTCCTCCTCTAACAAAGTTAAGTGATAACGATTTTCCAATTAACTAAATCGGGAATTGTTTAACGTCTCCAAAGCATAAATGATGCTTGCCATTCGTTAAAGCGTATCACGATTGACCGTCGCGCATTGATCGATAAGTAGGATATAAAGTAGGCCACTTTGGGTGTTCTGCACCAGTCAGCGATACGAGCACCTGTGGGTTCAAAACACATGAAAAATAATGCCTCGAAAGCGAAGCGGCTCAATCACGACCATAAGAGTCGAGGAATTTCTCAGTCACGGGAAACCAGAGGTTGGGTACGGCAACGGCAATGCGGTACATGCCACGGAGGTGACCCAGTCGCAGTCGGAAATTTATCAACTCTTCAAACCATTCCTTGCCTTAATGTCGGTTTTGGGACTGTACCACGAGCGTCGAAGTGGTGCCAAAGTTCACGATGCTTTTTTGTCTGATAAAAAGAACAGCACGGCAAAATTGAACTGGTGGAAAGTGTACGGGGTGGTGGCAGTTGTGGTTCTGTGGCTGAATGCTGTGCGTGGATTCACTGCATTTGACGGCAGTGAGTCGCTTTCAAGTCCGTTTGTATTCTTCAAAGTTTTGTACGTGGCGTACTACATATACTGTGCCTTACTTTCCACGCTCTGCTTCCACATGTGCAACCAGGAAGATGGCTTAGGAACCTTCTGGCAAGAGGTGGCCCAGCTAGAACACGAAATCCCGACGATCGTAAAAGCAAACGGTCTGCGTCGCGTGATCAGCGTATCCGCCGCTTTCGCCATCATCTTCGTTCTCTTCAACTTCGTGTACATGCTGTCCACGACCGTCATAGGCGCCCAATTCCCGTTCTTTTTCACTCCATTCGACCGCTTTGTGAACATGACGGTCATGACCACGGAAAGCGGCCTCGTGCTGGGATTCACCTGTCTCGTCGGACTCATCATGTCCGGGGCCGCTTACGCCTCGGTGGCTCTTTTTGTCTGCGTCTGCTACGTCCACTACTGTTCTTTTCGAGAGTTCAACGCCGAATTCAAAGAGGCGGTGAAACACTCCATAAAATCCGAGAGATTAATTGACCTAGAAACGTACCGCCGGAAGCATCAGAAAATTTGCCGGCTGATGGAGATTTCCGACGATCTCTTCTCTGCGTTTGTGGCCTTCACGTTAGTATTCAGTACGGGACTTCTCTGCCTCCTTATATATATCTTGATATATCACTTTTCCGCCGTGACGAGCAGTGTCATCAACATCATCGCCTTCACCATCTGGATATCCCAGTTTATATTGCAGTTGACGCTTATTTCCATGGGGGCATTCGTCAATCATCAGGTGAGTCGGGAATGGGCCTACTTCTCAAAATCAATTAAACTCTTAAAATGATCTTAAAATGACGTATCAATCGAAATTTAAGCCTACTTTGACCAAATGTTACAGTTTTGCAGTTAAATGAAACAAAGAAGACATGGGTCAATATACGCGTCAGACCAAGGTGTACTTACATTGTATTTTGTATAAGTAACATGCAAACCCAGAGATGTTATGTGACCGTGGCGAGTTATGCTTTATTCGGTTGAGGGGTGTTTTTCAGTAAAATACGAGTGCTTTTCTCTCGGCATGTTTGTCATATAATATACTGCCACCCTCTTGCAATATATGCCTTGTACACCTCTCACTGACGCTTGAGGTGTTCTGGCAAACTATGTACATCGCTCAGGCGAGATTGTATTGGCCAGGCTAAATTATTATGCAAGGTTATTATTTAAATTGTTCAAAATTCTGGAAAAATAGCAGTCACTTATCATCAAGTTCATGTATGCGTAAAGCAATCAAAATGTGTAGAATAATGAGACAAAGTTACACATGAAGTCTTGGAGAAATTAGAAATCTATAGGAAATGTTATTGTTGTTGTTCTCATATGTCCAACATAACATCTGGGCGATACGTCCATTTTCACTGTCACACACGAGACAACGTTGTTTTGGTGTACTGTTATTTCAGTATTGACTTCTCTAAATTACACTTACTACACTGTTTATATGCGTGTGAGTCCTTAAAGCCTGAAGTGTACCTTAAGTCATACGCTTTTGTTCCATAATGCTAAATAATACATAAAACAAACACTGGACCACAGCGAGCCCCTAGAGTAGGAATGCCAATGCAGATTGTTCCTTTTCATTATTCGGATGGGTTTTGTACAAAAGTTAATTCTCTATCCGATAACAAATGTATCATATTTCCCGAATTATGTCGAACGTACTGGTGACCACAGCTTGAAGCTAGTCAATTATGGCTTATTGGTCAATATGTCATTTCAACAGTAAAGGAATAATATATATTTTTTCACGAACAGACTGTGTTAACAGAATCAGTAAACGAAAATTAAGGCAATCACCAGCTTTGACTTTACAAAAGGCAACGTTAGCCATTGTTTACCTCAGCATGGGCGGTACATGTGTATGTATGAGAAAGAAATCAATTTATCAATAGATCAACGTAATTTTAAAAAGAAAAAGGCCTACTCCTCCTCGCTCGAAAAAAAAAGGAAAGAAAAATGCGGCATGCTGTACGTTAAGCACCAGTACAGCAATGGACGCTGGGGGGGGGGGGGGTTATTTATTTCATATTCTTCCTGAAATAAAAAGAATACTGTAACATCAACATCGTAAACGCCGGTGCTATGAAAAAAAATGGAGAAATATATAAACAGATACCAGAATAAGTGTTAAAACATTCGTGGCATTTTTTTTAGCAAATCGGAATGAAATAATTTTAGGGGGAATTTTTATAAATGTATATTTTCCTCTATTTCCAGGCTCACTCCCCACTCTCAGAGCTTCATGACATTCAGCTGGACCCCTTCAAGATCGATCAACTAATTCCAGTGAGTGATTTATGATATGTGTACCTCGGTACATCATCGTGTGGATAACATTTACATACAGTTCTCTTCCAAAAATGCCACTGAAATAATTACCTTGTGTAAATATACTCCAGTGTAACGTGACAGAGAATCCCCATATGATAGAGAGTCCGCTTTCCATTCATTTGTACAGGGAAGCCTCGCCCTAGATTTTGACACACCAACACCAACCCTAACCCTAACCATTATAACTAAATGGAGGGCGGACTTTCTGTTACACGGTCTCTTAGGGTGCATTCCCAGAGATTTAGATCGATCCAGGGATTAAGATTTAGATCGACCTAACTCCCTGGGGGTTCACGCTAAATTGCAGTCAGCCGAGCGCGCACCATTGTTAATTACCCCTTTACAGCTTTTAGTAGGCGGGACGGACGCTTAAGCCGGCTAAGCTGACAGTAATCTAGTGAGACTCCCCACAGGGATAGATCGATCTAAAATCTATGGAAATGGGGTCTTAGTTTCGTTACACCTGTATGCTTTCAGAGCAAAAGTGGCATTCTTATCGTCAAAATCTAAGAAAATACGCAATTATTTTATTCTTTCACAAGCAATGTACTGGGTTTGCATAACGATGTCATGGAAATATGTTATAATGTAATAATATCCAGTAAGCGATTTCTCGCATGTTGTTTCCAAATTTGTTCGACGCTTGCGAATAATGAATGCACACAGAAAGCACTTAACCGATATTTTATCATTTAGTTTCAGATATTTATGAATAATGACACTCACACTTAGCATTTAACCAATATTCTGTGATTTAGTTTCAGATGTTCTTGAACAAGCTGAGCGTCAATCCAATAGGGTTTAGTGCACTTGGCCTCTTTACTATAGACAAACCAACCATTTTGACGGTGAGTGTGTTCTGAAAACAGATGGTTTTGCAAGTTTGTTACAAATCGACGGACATTGCAATTTGAATCAATTTCTAAAACTTGAGAAGCAAGCCACACTAAATTTGTAGACTGTAAATACATAGCCCCTCACGCAATTCTTTAATTTTCTTAAAAGTTTGTATAACAGATTGATTTTGAACGAAACGGCCATTTGAATAAAATAGTCACTAGGTTTCTAAACGAAGGTTGCCTCGCGTTACACACGCATGCGCGCACGCACACAGACACACAAACACACGCACGCGTACACGTAAACATTAAGTAGCCATACCTGTACACCACTAGATTATATTAAGTGACATAATGCTTTATAATCCTTTTATTTCTAATGTGACGGAACTCAATATTTTATCTAACAAACACAGCTGGTGTTACCGAATCACTTTCCTTTCACGTATAGTCCAAACTTGAAGTAATACACGTAATTGGTGTTTTTCCCTAATGTAGTTCCAATTAACTTTATTGATCCGGGGGCATTACTGTATTCAGTCCACTTAAAGCATTAAGGATAATCTATAAAATGACAAGGATACTTCTACAACTATAGTCACAACACTAAATCACTGCCACAGTGCTTAGTGAGGTAGCTAATGTAATTGGTATTTTCAAGCTAAAATATATCATCAATTAATCAGGAAAATGGTGTAAACGCACCTTGTAAGCTTTAATAGGTGTAAATACATGTAAATTGATGTGTGTGTGTATGTGTGTGTGTGCGTGCGCGTGTGTGTTTGTGTTTGTGTGTGTGTGTGTGTGTGTTTGGCCTCCATTGACCACGTAAATCCTTTAGCGACTGGGTTTACATAACATCAAGTTCTATTGATATTGACAAAATTTGACTAAACATATCCCGTAAACGGTTTATTTGTTTCTAGAACGTTTCTTCAAGTAGTTTTATTGAGCTGTAAAACATTACCAATAATAACCACTCCAGTCCCTTTCATGCATTATTTAGAATGAAAACAGAATATAATAGTGCAGCAGTGGTGACTACGGGTTCGCTAATCGTTAGATGTCCTGTGGGTACGGGACAAGGTCTGGTACTTTTTCAGCGATTAAATTATTCAAACGGTAGTTGATCCCTTTAATTAAGAAAAAGAAAACGGTAATAAAAACAACCAAAGAAATAAACGAACAATATGCCTCAAGGTCCGTTAGGAAAGGGGATATTTTGGATGGAAGATTTTGGCATTAGGAAAAATTAAACCTCACTGTAACTAATGCAAAAAAAAAAAAATAATAATTTAAAAAAATAAATAAATAAATAAATAAATAAAAATAAAATAAACAAATAAATAAAATAAAATAAAATAAAATAAAATAAAATAAAATAGAATAAATAAAAAACTCATTGTTCACAAAAGTACTTTAAAGGGATAATAACTCTTCGTTTTGGCCAAAAAAATGAATTTTCCTGGAGTAATTAACAATTTTCCCATACTTACCAATGGTTAATGAATCCATTTTTACATTCAAAGTTAGTACCTGGTTTTTTCTAAAGCGTTTGTTTTTTTGTTATAATCTGTTAATGGTCTTAAGACAAGCTTAGATATCAGAATAATAGCTATTACTGCCGTTTTTCTGGTAAAACAGAATATATCTTATTTCTATGAGTTGTTCACAATGTTTTTATTGTGAAATATAGATCTCATACGAAGAGTTATTATCCCTTTAACCACAGTTCTCTTAGAAATGCCACATTAAGGTGAGCAAAAACTTTAGGAAGAAGAATAAAAAATAAGTGAACAAGGACAGTAAGAAGAATAATCAGAAATTCATAGAAATAGAATTTATATTATATAAAACATTGTATAACGGAGATATGTATTTTGTTTTCGTTCCAGATAATTGGTATGGTTTTAACTTACTTCTTCCTCATGATTCAATTTCAACCATCAATAGGATCGTCATCTGATTCAACAGGGTTGCCGTCTGCCACGAATACGTCGTCTGCGGCAAATGCCACTGTCACGTGATATGAGATGTAATCACGAAGGAGCACGCGTGATAAATGGCCTGTATATGTATTATTTAAATAACTGTTACCTGTATTTGGTGGTAAAACGTCTCCGTATGTGTTATTTGTACAATATTTGATTTTCATTCATGTTTATGAGATTGGAATTACAAAACACCTTCGATAAACAGTCTTTCAGCATCGAATAAAAAAGTAGTTACCCTCCCAAATTAACTGCTAACTTGTTAATTGTTAACTTGTCATCATGTAAATTTGAACAATAAAGGTAATGGATGTCTTAATTAATAAAGCACATAAAGCAATAAAGACTTTTCACATACGTGTACTTCTTAACGCTCCTTGCATTCTTAAATATTTTAAACCTACTAAAATGTAGCAAATTCACTGAATGATTTAGCAGATAGATAATAAACAATGGTGATGTAGCAACTGTGGTTTGTTACCGATTGTTTTACCTGTGATTGATGTCATAGTGCCATTACAAAGAAATTGACACTGTCGTAATGCTTATGAAACAAGATCCCCCTTAAATCATTGGAAACTTTGAACAATACAACGGATATTTAGTAACATAGTGAATGATCATAGAAGGGAAATATACCAAGTATATGTGACTTTAATCAATATACGGAAAAGTGGGGAAGTGAAAACTGTATCGGTGCATTCCATTCTTACATAATGCCCTAATGCTAATTTACCAGTAATTGCTGCATGATCGTCACCTGATTCAGCAGAAATTTGTGCCATAGATACATCGTCTGTGGCATATGCCACTCACGTGATTTGAAATGAAATTACATACGAGAGCGCGTGATTAATAATTAGTGAACACATACGTCATAGGTAAGTGGTATTTGCAGAAATACGTCTACGCCTGCGTATGTTATATTTATACAATATATATATAATTTTCATTGAAATCAATGAAATTTGACAATAAGAGATTGAATAATTATGAGATAAGGAATTTTTCAGAATTACCAAAAATGTTCATTAGATCTTTGATAGGTTATTTCTCTCACAGATACAGTAAGGGTTCATCAATTGTTCAATGTATTAGGGGAGACCGGGGCTAGTTGGCCCCCATCAAGTCTCTTTAATAAGTTACTTTAAGATGCTAAATTATTTCATTTGGACTCACTGCCGACCCTTTCTTAGCACTCTTGGATACGATCACTTTTTAAAATGACGTGATCAATTATTTTACCCCATAGTTACCTTGTCAAAAATGGGGGGGGGGGGGGGGAGTCCAATTAGCCCCGGTGTCCCCTACTTCGTTATTTTAAAGACTATTAACTTGTCACTATGTAATTTTTAATCAGCAAGGTTGTACGTGTACCTGTCTCAATAAAAACAGAAACTCCCTCACGTTCTCCTTCTTTGCGAATTTTTTTTTATATTTCAAACTTCTAATATGTGGATAATTGACTTATTGCTTTTAGTCGGTACACTGTTAATTATTTCCATTGGTAATGCTGCAATTATGGTTTTCAGTGAATTTTTTTCCTCGTCCAGCGTCAGCAACGCCATGGAACCCCGACCCAGAAATTGACTCCGGCGTAACAATGCTTATGAAACCCGACGATTGACCTATCCCCCTTAATTCACTGGAAACTTTCAACAATACAACGGATATTTTGGCTGATAATAGAAGGGAAATGTACTACGTATGTGCGAATTTGATCAATATAGGGAAAAGTGAATGCATTCCATTTAACTCTTAGATCAATGGAAATCAACCAACAGCTCTATGTACTTTTTCCGTTTAAAGGAAGTCGCTTTTTCATCCTTCGTCGTTGTCCACACAAATCAAGTTTAGGTTGAACATTTGCATTTCTTCATAGTGATAGGTCTTTTTTTAATTGAGGTTTCCACATCATTTTGAATAAGCAGTTTTTTCTTTCTGGCCACAAAATTGAATGAAGTTTTATAATCAAATACCATATCATAAGAGGCGATTTTTCTATGATGTTATGCCAGTTTTTAATTGATCATCAATTATAGCACTTCATCACATATTATTAAAAAAATTCTTTCTTTATATAAAATCGAAATGGAAGATTTGTAACGGCGTGATATGGTAGTGAATTTCGTCAGGAACACTGCAAGATTAGCTGAGGTTCGCACAGACGGCACCAAAACTGATAATTTCGTTAGAAGTATGCGGATCTGAAGTAACCATATATTTTACCAATCTTAAATTAAAAACCTTTAAACCTCGATACACATTTAGACATCCAAGATCCAATGCCGTTCAAGCGTATAAAATATCGACCACTTAAATAAACATTTCAGGTTTAAGGGACGCCGCCTTTCAGGCTTAATTAGCAGTGGCATTCCAGCCTGTCGTCTGCCAACATGTCTCACGTGCATCCAGACGCTGAGATAGAAGAATACATCCTACGTGATAAAGAGCAGCATAAAAAAGTTGGGAATTTAAAAGACCGTGTCACCATGATGTGCTACACGGTACCTTATAGAGAGTCGGCTATTTACCAAGGTTTGAGACCGATTTTAAGAATAATGACTGTATTTGGGTTGTACTTTGAGAATTACAGCGATGGGAGAATCCACGACACAGCGGGAGCGCGCAGTGAAAGTAAACGCACCAAATGGACCTTTGCCAAAATTTGGAGCTTCGTCGTTGTGCTTATTCTATGGATAAATTTCTTCTCGCGAGGTCTTGGTGCTTTTGACGGCACTGAAGTGCTTGCTAATCCCGTACTGTTCTTCAAAGGAACGTATAGCATTTTCTTCCTGTTGGCCGCGATTCTAGGGACGCTCTGCTTCCACGTTTGCCACCACCAAGAAAAGCTGCCGGCTTTCTGGAAGGAATGTGCTCGACTGGAACAAGATATGCCGTGGATAGCTGGCGAAGTGAAAGTGCGCTGCCTAGTGGTCACTTTCACCGGCCTGGCCCTGTCCTCCATATTCATGAACCTGACCTATATTTTGTGGATCACAGTTGCGTACCAGAACCAACGTGTGCCTTTCATACACGCCCCGTTCCATCGTTTCATGGACATGTCAGTGATGAACGCGGGCAACATATTCGTGACAGTTTACACTTGTATCTCAACGGTCGTTATATCAGCAGCCGCTTACTTCCCGTTCTCTTTTTACATATGCGTATGCGGCGTGTTCCAGAACGCCTTTAGGGCGTACAATGACCACTTCAAGAACGCGGTGCAGAAATCGGTCGAGAGCAGAACACCTCTGGACCTTGAGACATTCCGGAGAAGACATCAAAAGCTTTGTCGAATCATGGAAATTGGAGATGACTTGTACTCTTTTTTTATTGCCTACGCTCTCATAAGCAGCACCGCCACCGCTTGCATCACACTGTATATCTTCATATACCATTTTGCTGCAGTGATGGAGGATGTTCCCACCATCGTTGCCATGGTGATTTGGAGCATGCAGGCCTTCACACAGCTGGGCCTGATAGCGTACGGAGCCGTTGTCAACGAGCAGGTAGATAATGTGAAATTATAAGTGTTTTTTAATCATAAATTCACAGGTAAGAGAGTGGATACCCGAAAAGAACTTGCTGTTTCTAATTGGCTGAAAGTGTACTTGCGTCTTGTTTTACTTTAACAATTTTTGTAATTCTTGAGGTTTCCAGTGAGCAAACTCATAAAATTTGTGTCTGTGTATCTGTTATATTTGGTAATTTACAGTGAAAATCCCATTTTAAGTCCGACAGGTTTAAGACAAAGGTAATTTTTGATACGTGCTAAAAACATGATTTTATTTTATTCTTATCTTTACCTTAGGCACATGCGCCACTTTCGGAACTTCACGACATAGAATTTCACACTTCGCAACAGGACCTGCAAATACCGGTAAGTAGTCAGGTATCATGTTCGATACAGTCCCCTTTGACCCATACCCACACGCTTGCACGCACATACACACACGCACACATACACACACACACAGACACGTGTGTGTGTGTGTGTTTAAAAGATCTAATTTGCACACCTGCAGTTTTTTGTTTAAACTGTTAGTAGGCCCTATCTTTTAGCTATAGCATTGCTCTCACAATAATTGTTATGTTATTTATCAAAAAAAAATAACACTTCAGAGAAGAGGGGGGGGGGGCATGGAGTGACACGCAGACCTTAAAGTATTTCTTTTTCGCAACTGTGACGACCCGATATGTCCGACAGGCCAGATATGTCCGACAAAAAAGAGCCAGATGTGTCCGACAGGCCAGATATGTCCGACAAAAAAGAGCCAGATGTGTCCGACAGGCCAGATATGTCGGACGCAACTGGCTCTTTTTTGTCGGACATATCTGGCCTGTTCTCTTGTCGTAGGACATGTCTGGCCTGTCGGGCATATCGGGTCGTCACAGCAACACATGGCCTTTTTTATATTTTCTGGAATATACTGTATTATGGGCCGAAATTATTAACAAACAGTCAAGGATATGTTATTTTCCGATCATGGATGAAGTAAGATTAAAAATGCATTATGTACAAAAGTATGTAGGGCATAGCTAGCAAAATACATATAGTTTCTTTTCTTGTTGAACTGAGGATACATTGAAAAAGAAATCGTTCGGGCTAATTGGATTACTTCATTATTTAATCAACGATTGATTATCAAATTCACTCTAGTAACAATGCTTTAATTTGTTGTATTTGCCATTTAAACACATACGCACAAATTTTATTATGCAAACTACTCTGCCATAACCCTCCTCCCATTAAAATTCTCCTCCTTAACAAGCCATTTCACCTGGCATTAATAATTGATTTATTTCACTATTAAGTAACAATGGAAACTCGATGAAGGGGCAGTGGGTTAATCTGTCACGCTCCCCCCCCCCCCACAGTATTTGGAAGTACAAATGCACCTTCTCTTTCAATTCCCCCTTCCAAAATTTCAATTTAAAAAAACGGAACAAAACAAAACCAATGCTAGTTTTATCCCTGCTCCCTTCATTACTAAAAAACCGTCATCATCTACAATGTTTTATTTCAATGTTTATTGTTAATCCTTGTGACCCCTCCCCAGTTTTGTACAAAATCCTTAATCCGCCATAGGGTAATTAACGCTCAATCTTCATTCAGTTTCAGATGTTTCTCAATAAACTAAGCGCAACTTCGATCGGTTTTAGCGCCATGGGTTTGTTCACTATTGACAAGCCCACCATTTTGACGGTAAGTTAGCCCACATAACATAACATTACATTTGCAGAAGTATTGGAATTAACGTGCTGCGAATGCCTCTAACGATATATTCATGTATAATATATAATAATTGATTTTAAATTGTCCAGTACACCGGCAATCTAAATACCTTGCTGCTGCATGTATGCACGTTTAACTTCTTGAAATGTTACAAATAACTATAATAATAATTGTAATACTGTCTACCGTCCCTGTCGTCAACAGAGGGGGGGGGGGGGGGGGGGGGCCCCCAAAAAAAAAAACAAAAAAGGGCTTGGGAAGGGGGAAAAACTTTTGGAACAATTTGGGG